GACCCCGGCTGGGCTGGGGGTCGGCGGGGGGCTCTGCGGCTGCTGGAGGGTTTCTGGGGGGCTTTGGGGGAGTGGGGGCGCAGCGAGCTTTCACCCACACGTCTCTCACCGCTTCTGAGCCTAACTGAGCTGAGCTTTGGGTGGGCAGGGGCTTTCCCAGACTCCTGGCAGCAGGAGAGTCCCCCAATGGCAGAGACATGTTTCTTGGGGTGATCTAAAAAGGATTTCTATCCATAATCCCTACCCAAACCCAGCTCCTTATTCAGTGCTATGCACATAGCACGTAGGCCTCAGGGGCTATTGGTGGGCAGGCTGGCATGCAAAAAACTGAGCTTTGGTTGGGCAGCATCCTGTTCAGAAGTGTTACCCAACTGCAAAGAAGTGTGGTTTGGGGTGACCCAAAAAGGATTTTGCCCCATCATTCCAGCCTAATCTCAGCTCTTTATTCAAGGTTAGGCACTTGATGCATGATATTATTTTACATTTTTATTAATAAATATATATTTTTGATGAACTTCTAACTCTAGCTTCTCTAATTCATTGCTAACAACTTTAATTGTGTAAAGATTGACTTTGAAAAAGGAATCAGGAATAAGGATCCGGAAATAAAGAAACAATTTCAGTCAATGGTCAAGAGTACAATAAATTTAGATGGGTCATAGGTGCAAAGGATTTATCAAAGGATAAAAAGGACTGCCCAGCTATGAAAAGAGCCAACCAGCTGGCAAGTTAGTGTTTGAAAATATGGAACAGCTCTATAGCTGGTTTCTATCCAGCTTTAACTTGAACGTGTGGCAGGGCCTTGGTGAACTACATTTTCCTCTGGGAATCAGGGCTCACTCTCCCTTTCAGCATCTGCTCTCTGCCGCTGTGGGACACAGGCCTATTTGCTGTATCAAAGAGATCGTGGGCCAAGGCCCACCAGGACAAATTATAAGCTTCCCTTAAAAAGGGAGGCAACTGGAAACACAACTAATTGCTTGGGAGAAATAAAAAGAAAACAGGGAGGGGGGGCAAGGGTCACAAGGGTTCAGAAGGGGACACCAAGCAGAAAACACTGGCCAGTGCCTGCTGCCCCCCAAACAAGTGGAGGGAGCCTGTGGATGCCTAACAGTGAAACTGCCTGGAGATGTGACCTTAGTGTCAGGAAACCAGCCCCACACTTGCCCAGGCTTCTCCTGGCCAGAACTTCCTTCCTGGTCTGATAGATGGCAGCTTGGCCAGAGATAGGAGGTGGCTGACCAGGAGGTCCCAGGACTTGGTGGAGCCATGGCTGTATGATACTGGGCAAGATGGACCTATTGTATGACCTAGTAAATGGCAGTTCTTATCTTCTTACGTTAAAGGACAGAACAATAAATATCAATAAAATATTTCTTAGGGCCAGTCCACAAACATTTAGGTCCAAATTTCTCTGAAACATTACACTGTTTGGAGCTGGGGTGTGGCTGGGGCCCTTGCAAAGCAACTGAAGACTTTTGTGAGAGTCAGACTGTGGTCAGACTTCCCAAGCTTTTGGGTTGTTTAGATCTGGCCCTTTGGCCTGGGCCCCCCTTCTGATCTCTGAGCTAGTTTGGTTCAATGTCACACTGAACTGTATCATAAAGGTGTTATTTTTTTGTTCGTAGCCTGAAGGAAAGTAGAGGCTACAAGGGCACTTCATGATGCCCACACACGTGGATCATATGGGGATCAGCATTGTGGGTGTTTCTACTGGAAATTATGAGTTACTTGGAATAATACTTGAAAAATAGCCGCTATCTTTAAATCAGCAACACTCTGGAAAAGCTTTTATTAACCTCTTGTTTGCATGGCCCCTCTTAAATAAAGGCCATGGGGACACTTGCATGATAGAGAACAAGACAGAAAGAGAGAGGGTACAAGTGATCAACTAATCCCAAACTGCACATTTAAGAGCAAGATAATGACACTCACTCCCTCATCTAGGTACTCATAAAGACCCTTTCCAGCCTTAATATCTCTGCTTCTCCCTTGCTCTAACTACCAAATAAGAGGGGACATTTTTTACTTCCAGATTAGTAGTGACTGAAGTTTATTTACTATTTGATGGTCTTGTGCAATGTAAGCTGGAGGTCTTGATCTAATTGCAGTGTACAAGTGTTCACACCACTAAGGCACAACCAACTGGGCTAACTGTCCCTTTTATTAGAAATCACTGGGGAAATAAGAGTGAAAAGAGAAGAAAGGGATGAAAAACAGAGTAAAAAGTAAAGAAAGATGAATTACAGAAAATACATCAATAAGCCCAGAGGGATAAAAGGAACCATAAATCAGTTAATGCATTGCTATGTAACAGGGATAAGGAATGAGATTTGCTAAATGCTTATTTTGCTTTGGTCTTTGCAGAGGAGAAAGGAAGAGATTATAACTAAGGCAGGGATCAAGTTTTCAGAGAGGACTGCCAAAGTCAGGTAGGGTGCTGATAACAGGAGGGAAAGGAGGGAGAAAAAAACCTCACTTTTCTTAGAGCAGCAGGTGGGGCTGTGAGCTCCTGATCTGTCAAGGAGTCAAGAAAGGAAACTGGCAAACCATCAGCACCACACTTGAAAATGCTCGTTAGAGGTCTCTGAGGATTGCAAAGTGGAAAAGTAACTCCAAAGGCAAGTCCAACCAGGAAACCATGGAGCAGGGAGTTAACTACACAGCTGTGGAGGAAATCTTAGAAACTATTGTAAGAGCTGGGGCTGGGGGAACCCTGGGAAAAGCTGTCTGGGGTAGCCAATGCTCAGGCCAAGCCTGTCACAGTCCTGGGAAGATAATCCTGGCAGAGTGAACAGGGAAATTCAGTGGCTTGGGAAGCATTAAACCCAAGGTGACTGAGGGTTTGAAAAAGGATACTTTGCCAAAGGTCTTAGGGATGAGCTGGAGCACAGAGCAAGGCACATTACAATCAAGTTCTGAAGGGTCCGCATCATTCCTAGGATTGGACAGTGGATGGCAGATGAATGTCGCTGGCTGGGCAGCTGAGACTACTAGAATGTTTAAAGGCACAGTGGGCACATCTACACATGTAATTAATGCTATTTGGGTTTACTGCACAGTAATCTACTGTGCAGTAAATCAGCCCTGGGCAGGTATCTACAAATGCAGCCATTTGGGAGCAGATTTGCTCCTTATGGCAGTAGCCCTGCTCCACCCCACTCAGCAGCCAGAGAGAGCAGGAGGCTCTGGCCACAGCTGCCTGGGTGCCAGGGACACTCTTTAAAAGCCAGCCCCGCATGGTGCTCCATGGCCACCTGTGTTTCTGGCTTGGAGCAGGCCGTAGCGTGCTGGCATAGCCCTCTGTGGCTCTGTTGCCAGAGCCTGTGCCCACTGTGCGATGGCTGCTCTACCCCCAGACCCTGGAAGCAACAACCCGCACCCTGGGCTTCTCTTTGCTGCCCTGCTCACCATGTTTTGCCATGGCAACCACCACCTGGCCCCGGTCAGTCTTGGTCCTGTCTCCCCCCCGTGCCGTGTGACTGCACGGCCAGGCTTGCTGCTGCATCTGAGACCTCTGTCCCTGTGATGGCACCAACCAGGTCCTGGGCTACCACCTGGACCCTGGCAGGGATGCTGATGATGTGCACATAGACACTGCCACAGATGCTTTCCATGAGCTCCTGGGGCACTAGCCCCACTGCCTGTGGGCCCACCCGGCCAGCCAGAACTGGTGGCTGCACCATGTTGTCCAGCACACCCGGGATGATGACCAGTAGCTGGACTCAATCTGGATGACCCAGGCCACATTCCAGGAGCTCCTTGACCAGCTGCACCCGCACCTGGGGTAGCAGGCCATCACCATATGGCTGATCCTCCTTGCTGAGACCCAGCTGGTCATTGCCCTGCTCAAGCTGGCTATGACTGCCAGCCTGCGCTATGTTGGCCACCTCTTTGCCATGGGCCAGGTAACTGGTGAGGAGGCCATCCTGGAAGTCTGTGGCACTGTGTTCTGGGTCCACGACCCCCTGGAGGTGATGGTGGGGTTCCATGCCCTGGGCTTCCCCCAGTGTATCAGGGCCCTGGATGGGACCCACAGCCCTGTCACTGGCCTACCCCATGGCAGCTGCCCATACTATAGCCAGCAGGGCTTTCATCCTTCATGCTGCAGGCCATTGTTGACCATCACAGTACCTTTCCCGATGTCAGTGCGATCTGGGCTGGCAGTGCCCATGATACCTGCATCTTCCTCAACTCCAACCTGCCAGCTCTGGTGGAGAACTGGTGTTTTGTGCCAGGGATGCCAGACCTCCAGCTGGGCAAGGTGAATCCCACCCGTCCTCATTAGGGACCCTGCCTCATGTGGACTCCTCCCCTGCCTCATGCGGCCCTACACCAGTCAGCTGGACCCCCTCCAGCCACACTTCAATAGGTGGAGTATGCGTTTGGTTGCCTGAAAAGACTCTGGCGCACCCTCACCACCAGCCTCGAGGTTGCAGAGGCCAACATCCCCCAGGTCATCATCACAGCTTGTATGCTGCACAACATATGCGAGGCCCAGGGGGAGATCTACCACAAGGTGTGAGTGGAGGAGGCACAGTGGGTGGAGGATGCCTGGCAGCAGGAGTACCAGCTGCAGTGGCAGCAATGGCACCTCCACTGAGGCTCTGGACATACACCCAGCAGTGGGGGCTCCGCATGTGCCAGAGGCACTGGCAGACCACCTGCTCCTACAGCCCTGCGGTAGGCCACCCGGCCAGCCAGCCACGGACCCCAGGCCCACCGTGCATTCCTTCACTGTGGACAGTGTTCTGCAAAGCACTTTATTTCCCTCCACAAACACAGCTCCTGCCCCACCTTCCCTCCTGAACAAGAGAATAATAACCAATAAAGAACCCTCTTCTCTGTGCAAACTATGTACATTATGCTCTGTGTGCCCTCCCGGGGTGGGGACAGTGGGGTGGAGCTGTCTACAGGGCAGATCCCGGGGACAGGTGCCCAGCACCCTGGGATCTGGCCACACCACCATGGGTGTGTATGCTGTGGCAAGGCTGGTGGGTAGGGGGCTTGGTCAGGGGCAAAAACGGCTGCTGCTCTGCTGACATGGCCAGCTTCCTCTCCTTCAGCCTGGGGATAGGGCCAGCAGGGCCCAGGCGCAGTGCTGGCTCTACTGTGGGTGGCTTCTGCTCAGGGGCCACATGGAGCCTGGGCGAGCAGCAGGGAGGGGCCCAGACTGGGGGGCGGGGGGGTGGAGGTAGTTGGTGGGGACCCGGGGTGGGTGCTGGGGCAGGGGGCCCTGGCCACTGGAGGTACCGCTGCACCTCAGCTCAGGCCCACTGGGAGACTTGCTGCTGGGTGGCGGGCATCTGCCAGAGGGCAGTTGGGGCCAGGGCTGGGGAGTGGGCAGCATAAAGGAGGTCCTCTTCCGTGGCACTTGGGGTCCTCTTCTCTCGTCTCCACTGCCCTGGCCACCACAGCAGCCTGTTGCTCCTGGGCCTCCACGATCCTCTTGAGGAGGGTGATGTGCCGGTCCCTAAGGGCCAAGAGCCTGTTCCTGAATGTTTGATCCTCCCAGATCCTCTCCTGGTCTGTCTCCAGCTTGCACTCAATCCTCTTCAGCTTGTGCATGATGTCTTCTGCATGCCAGGCCCACTCCTCCACCAGCCGCTCTTCTGCCATAGTGACCAGCTGGTCCAGCAGCAGGTTCTGGTCTCGGGTCTGCTACTGCCAGAGTCAGTGCATATGGAGGGCCCCGGCCAAGGTTGGCGGTGATCTTGAAGGTGCATTGCTGCTGGCAGCTGGTGTTTCTCCCCTGTGTGCAGGTGATGGACTTGCAGAGTCAGGAGAAAAAGGCTGTTTGTGAGATTTTGCAACATTTCTGAGATAACATACACTGTACCAGGGGCTGTATGCTGTCTGACCTCAGATCAGGGGTTGTGAGTGGACAGGTACCCAGGGACCATGGTAAGTTGGCCAGGCAGGCCTTGGCACAGGTGAACACTGGCTGAGCACCTTGTCCCCTCTCACTTTGCAGGGGAAGGTGGGCTGCTGGGTTCTTGCGCCTCTCCCCTCCCCCCCCAGCAGCGTCCTGAGTGTGCCCCTGGTGAGAGCGCCCCAAGCATACTGCAAGAAGCTGTTTGCATGGAGCACAGCATGCCTGACCTGCTACACCCCACTGCTGCTCTTCACCACAGTGCCTCACACTCACCTGAGCACCTGGTGCAGGACCCTGAGCTTCGATGCTGTGGTGGGCAAGCCCGTGCTTCCCCACGTTTGCCACCACATGGAAGGGTACCTGTGCCTATGCTACAAATCCATGCTCCTCCCCCCCGTTCCCCCCACCTGCAAGTGAGGACATTGTTGCAGGTATTGACACATTCCTCTGTGTGTGAGGCCTGTGGCTGCCTAGCTGAGGGGGCACTGGCTGCTCAATAAAGTTTTGCACTGCCTCCAACCTCCCTGTGTGTTGTGGGGGGGGCAGGGGGAAGCTTGGCCAGGCTGGCCGGGGAGGGTGGACAGGGGCAGGAAGGGGAGGGAAGGGAAGGGGAGGGCCTTCCTCCTAGTGAGGGGCTTTCCAGATGGGTGTGTGTAACAGGTTGCCCTCCCCAGTGCCATCTTCCTGGTAATCCGTGCCTTATGTGGGGCACCCTTGGAGCCTTCTTTGGGAATTCTTCTGTCCCACCCTAATCTCTCCTGCCACGTCTTGATGGAAATTATTATGCGAGCGGGAGACTGCCTATTATATTGGGTATGTTGGGGTCTCTCCTAGGATGGCTTGACCCCTTTTTTTTCTCTAGCTAGGCTTCCCCGTCCAAACCCACTAAACAGGGTTTGACTCCAAGGCTCTAGCATTTTCTACAGTGCCTGGAGGCTTGTGGCCCCCTTTCCTGCTCCTTTCTGGAGCCCGGCACTCCCTGGCCCAGAGGCATGGGTGCCAGCCCCACAGCCAGGGGGCTGCAAATTCAAAAGCGGGGCAACACCAAACTTGTACCCTCTCAGTCCAAAAAAAACCAAAACAAAATTGCACCCCCGGTACATCAGACTTCCCTGGCCTTTTTAAGATCATGCCTTCAGGCGCCAGGGTCTGTGCCCCCAAAAGCCATGCCCTCACTGCTGCCAGGGTCCCCACTCCGTAGTGGGCTCCCAAAATGAGGCCTCCTCCATCCCCCAATAGCCTCACCCAGACCACTGGTGTTATTCAACAATCACAAAAAAATAATAATAACTGTACATGATCAAGCAAAGCAGCAGGTCAGCTTACATGAACCTGGTTCATGCTTTGGCTCTGCACCGCCGGCTACAGTCCTGGCTGTGGTGCAGCCGCCATCTCTCTGGGGCTTCCGTAGCTTCCCCCTTCCTGCTGTGGACCGCTCCCCAAGCAACCCCTTCCTCACCAGCCCTCCATGCCCAGAAAGTTTTGGCCTTAAAGGGGCAAATCTGCTTCCTCGTGATAGGGCTAGGGTTCCCTGTTACAGTGTGACAGGCATCTTTGGTGGCCCGAGTCTGTTCCCATTTGCAGTGATGATGTGCACCTCCCATTGGTGTCCTGGGGTGCCAAGGTGCAGTGCCTAACTGACTGGGCATTGGCTCCCTCTGGGAAGGAGCTGGAGCTTGGGTGGGTAGTGTTATCTCTGGGCTGGCCTCCTGGGGAATGCTGTGCATCTAGACCTGGTGAGGCAGGAGCTGGCCCAGGCTGCTGGAGCTGCTGGATGATGCTGGGGGCGGGGCCATGGCGAAATGTGCCCTTGGTGTCCTGAGGGTCCCTTCCCTGCTGAGGACTCATTGTCATTGCCAGGACATGGTGGATGCCCTGGCAGACACCCATGCTGGAGAGCACAGCACAGCTCCACCCAGGGTCCCGGGGTACAAGGATGCAGTCCAGCTGCTGCATAAAGCACTTGGCCCTGTGGACAGCCCCCAACTAGTGATTGTGTTTGGTGATACAGACCCACTGCACCTGCAGGGCCTTGACCTTTTTGTGGCATTGCCACACTGACTTGTCATGCCCCCATTCCTGCATGTGGCACACCAGGGCTTCATAAATATGGATGTTGGAGCGCCTGCCCTGGGCAAACTGGGTCTGGACTTCAGCGTCAGCCCACAGCACCACAAAGTCCATGGTCTCATCCTGGGACCAGTTGGGCCCCCAGAACACGATGTGTGGCATTGGGGATGATGCCAGCATGGCTGCATCTATGGCCCTCAAGTGCTGCGGCCCTGTGGGCGCTGCCGGGCCTGGGCAGGTGCCTGCAGCACAGGGGTACAGAGCATGTAGCAGGCAGGTGGTGGGACTGGCCCTGGGGTCAATGTCGGGTCAGTGCAGGCTGCGGCAGCTGGCATGGGGCCACTGCTATGGGACTCAGTAGCCAGAGGCAGGCAGCAGGTGGCACAGGCTCTGAGGTCACCGCAGACTTTTAAAGGACAGGCTGGGGCAGGCAAAGAGCTACCTCAGTCCCGGTGTTGGAGAAGGTTTGGGCTCCAGATGGCCCTCTGCTGGTGGGGCTGACCAGGAGCAAATTTGCTCTTGATTGGTGTCTACACATGTGCTACTGTGCAGCAACTACTTCACGGTTAATTTTCTACCTGCATTTGCAGGTAGCAAATTAACCATGCAATAGACTAACTTACTGCACAGTAAGTACCTGCATGTGTTGACAGTGACACTTTACTGAGCAGTAAATTAGTCTACTGTGCAGTAAAGCATCTCATGTAGATGCGCCCAATCTTTCCTAGAAAGGCAGGAAAT